AATGTAAATTTAACTTTTCAAAACAATATTTTTTTTACAAAACATAGAATTCTTTTGAAATGAAAAAGTGGGTTCTATAAAAGGTTGAGCCCGTTTGGACATAAGAATTTTTTTTTTTTGTTTAAAAAAAGTTTTCATTTTTTTCGAAATCAGAGTTTATTCATAAAATTTTCAATTTTCACTTGAAGATCATTTTGGAATTTTTCCGAAAATTTAAAAAACTCCAAAAAATTGTTTTTCAAAATTTCACTCAGATCACTCACAAAACTTCAAAAACAACCTAAAATAATATTCATGTCCAAACACAAAATGATATTCAAATACTATTTTTACTTGAATTTTTTTTTTTTACTTTTTTTTTTAAAATTTTACAATTCTCATGTCCAAACGCCCACTAAATTATTGTGTGTTTGAATGGGGTAGGGATAGAATAGCAAAAAACAAGAGCATTAGCCTTGATGATGCTGCAGCACAGGTAATAAGAACCACAACTTTATTTTTTCTTTTAGTTTGGGGGCAGCACAGCATAGGGGAGAGTAAATAAATTAGCTTTATCTCTCAAAGTCTAGTCTTTATCTTCCCTTATATTTTGTGGGGGCTCCTCTCTCCTTTCTTTTATAGAAATGGACAAAACAATGCTGAGTATTTCAGATCTGCTTCACAGGGAAATGTTCCCTGTCAACCACTCTCCCTCACTCTTCACATTCAACTAGTAATAAATTGTTGTTTATTGCACTCCACAAGTGGAGATCATTATGCCCCTATTCCAAAACGAGTCGGGTCATAACTTTTTGGATCATAGTGTATTTCGAAGGGGAGATTGGGAGTAACAATAAAGTTGTCTCATCGTGACCTATAGGTCGCGCTTTCGAACAATGTTAGCAGTCACTAATTTTTGTGTTAGAAACGTCTACATTACACCCCTTTGGATGCGATTCTTCCTTGAATCATGCATGATTGTGGGATACTTTGTGCATCAAGCTGCTCTTGTTGGTGTATTCAAAGTTCCCTGGATTTGGTAAGGAGAAATGAGGCCACCTTAGACCGTTGAGTTCTCTACTTCGCAGCATCAACGTCGTACGCTTTACTGAAATAAATTATACAAAAAAATAATTATATTCGATGTTGATTGGCATTCAGGTCATCATTTAAAACTAAAATATCAAATGCATAATTTTACGATTAAGTAAACAACAATTGTTGCAAAACTCAAAGGAAGTTTAATTTCGAGAAAAATCTTGTCAAAAATATAGGATTATGATACCTTTTAGTATAAATAAAAAAATAAATAGATATTAAAATTACTGTTAAAACTTAATAAGGCAAAAGAAAAAAAAATGTTAGTACCATTCTCTTGGTTAATCTAAAGCTCAATTAGCACTAATTACCCCTCCTTTTGACTTCTTTACTTAAAGTCTCAAACCATTGCGCAAAAAGAATACTTTTAACAATTATTAAAACAAAAATGAGAGAAGAAATACTAGTACTCCGGGTCAAATGGGCAACCCGAAACCCATATATAGTACTGTCGTTATCCATTTCATATCCCCAAAAATCTAGTCAAACTATTGTGCTACGTCTGATCACGCGCTGTAACTGAGAGTGTGATTGATTACTGGTGAAGTGCGTTGGAATAGTGCACGTTCACTTTAAAAAGCAAAATTATACTGACAAACTTCTTCGTTCTCCGCACCTTTTCCCAATTCATTTAAATTTTAAATTAGATTCTCTCTCTCTTTTTATTTTTATTTTATTATTTTTTTAATCTTTTCATAAGAGAATTTTTTTTTTCCGCTGCTCCTCAAGAGTTGTTACAGCTTTCTCCGCATCATATCATAAAATTTTAAAATATTACCGTAAAATGTGGTGAGATAAATAAAATTATTCCGCACTTCTTAATTAGAGAATTTATTTCGAGTCCTCAAAATAAAGAAATCTTTGACAAAAATCTTCTTTTAATGAACTTTATGCAGTAAATTTAGATAGCATATGATTATATATAAAAAATTCTTAGGTTAAAAATAGATCCTTTTTTGGTATCCTATAAAACAATTTACTATATAAATAAATACATAAATAGGCTAACAATGAGATTTGATTAAGGTCTCATTTAAGATTCCTATAATAATGAGTTCGAAATATGTGGGTCAAGGCATCTATTTTTGAAATCCGGGCATTAATTTCTTAATTTTTGAAATAATAATATAGTTATTCATTAGATAAAATGAAATATAATTGACAATTAAAAACAACACCGTTCATTTTAATTGAGTATTTTAACATCAAGATGTATATTCTTTTTGGTAAGGGAAAAAAGTTCACTTTGTATTTCACTTGATGTGTTTATAGATATGCAGCTTAGAAGGTAAAAAATTAAATAAACTCATTATTTACACTAAATCAATAAATATAGACGTGTTTTATATTTACAACTTTATTACTTAATTATAATTAAACAATATTTTTTGCTTAGCGATAAGAGTTGTAGTAGAATGACAAATATATTTCTTCCTTAACAATTGGTCACTTCTCGGTTCAAATCTTGGGCAGGAAGGTACCTTTATTAGGGAGCGCTTTATTCTCAGATACAAGGGCGCGTTTGGCCATAAAAAATTTTACTTTTTTCGGAAAGTTTTCACTTTTTTTCGAATCAGTGTTTGACCATGAAAATTTTAAACTTTACATAAAATTAAATTTCGGATATTCGGAAATGTAAAAACTCCAAAAAAATTATTTTTTAAAATTTTTCACTTCAAATCGCTCATAAAAATTAAGAAACAGCTCCAATTATATTCGTGTCCGAATGCAACTCTAATTTTCAAATACCATTTTCACTTGAAATTTTCTTTTCTCTTTATTTTTTATGAAATATTACAATTTTTATGGAGGTCGAGAATTAGGGTAGTAGAGTATGTAGTATAGAGTGTTCATAACTTTAGTATTGGCACGCAATCTCGTTTTCTATTGGTAGTAGATTTTTATGACTAACTGTTGTTTTCTTTCATTGTTGATCACTTTACTGTCTTGTTGTGTTATTCTGATTTTATATGACTTTTTGATACTGTCTCTTTTTGCCTATATTTTTATTAATGTGGTACTTATATTATCTTGAGTCGATGGTCTATTGGAAATAGCCTCTCTATCCTAACAAGGTAGGGATAAGGTCTGCGTACACACTGCCCTCACCAAATCCTATAGTGTGGAATAATACTGAATATATTATTATTATTATTATTATTGTTATAGACGCCCACTAAAAAATTTCGCGCGCATTCAAATTTAATCGATTTTCAATAGAAATAACGATATTTTTGGCTTACAACTACCTAGCCAAGCTTCTGTACAAGTTAATATGGTCAAAGACTTTTCCAACTACTTCACCTTCCATGTCATTATGCCTTTCATATCAGAGGCATAATTAATGCATGGAGCGGGTTAAAAGTGCAAATATGAAGAATTCCTTGGGTGAAGATAATACATTATTGGAATTTGTAATATAGTATACTCATGTTTATTGTCTTGTCCGAGAGACCACCTAACCCTCCAACATTAATGTTGTTAGATTAATTGTCCCTAACATCAAACCAAGTAGGATTGGGACATGCGTCTATTCAAAGGTTTTATAACATGCTTCGATTGTACCATTTGATTTTTGGGGAAAAAATCTTACTCCCTCCCTTCTATTTTATCTCATATTACATCTTTATTAGTTCATTCAAAAAAGTATAATATATTATCAAAACTTTTTTTATGAGAAATTTATATAGAATGTCATGGATTGTCATGGCGAGTGGATGACTATTGTTCCTTAGAAGCGCCCGTCTAGGATTGGCAAAACAAAAAAGTGCTGCTATATCATATTTAAGATTACAATTTTCAAAAATTTTAAAGTCATAAAAATATTACAGAATATATAAAATCATAAGTTTTATAAATATTTTTTTATTAAATTTTATATCAAATCAAATTGCGACAAATAAAATGAAACAAAGAAAGACTTACATTTCCGTCAAATCATCAAATCAATAAACAACGGACATGTATCTTTTGTATTTATATACATTTCTCACTTCATTTTATAATAGCTAAAGTTAAATTATTGATTTGACATAAACATTTAAGGCGAATGAATATAAGTTAATTCAATGGTATAGGCCCACATAATTAGGCAATCAAGCACACTCAACCTTTATAATATCTAACAAGTCCTGCAATTTTTCAAGGGAGTGACATGAGTTCTTTTGCCAAATTTGGTGAAGTGAAGATTAGTACTCTATTTTCTTCTTAAATCTAGCCCTGTCACAAATACACACAATAGTATCCTCGTAAAAAAATATTAAAAAGAAAACTTAGCACCCTATGGGCGTGGTAGCTAACGATAGATATTAATTAAACTATTTATACATAATTCACCTTTTGCTTTTCATTTTTCGCAATGGAATGATATTTGCAGTACTTAAGATACATTTTCTGACACATTAGCATATAGATAATATTAATTATGAAGTGGTATACATGATACATCTGTAGTTTCTATAGGATTTTTTTAAAGGATTCGAATCCAAGATCTTTAAATTTCAACTATTTTATTTTAATTTATTAATTATTAAATGAAATTATCTTAGATAAATTTCATGTGGTCATTGAACTTTATTCATTATCACAAAAAAATTACTCAACTTTATTTTTGTCACTTTAAAGTAACTTTAACTACCATAACAGTAATATCACAAACCCTTTTCTTTTGTACCTCTGTTGAACAGGTATGATATGAGCGTAAATATTTCAGTTCTTCGAATTACACTAAAATATATGAAAAAAACTAGATACAATTATAATTGGGAAAATGATGTTGTATAGCCGCTCTCAAAATAATAGCATATATATATATATATATATATATATATATATATTTTGTATATTATATACAAAAAGTTTATACACTTTTTCGGCTATCAAATGTAAATAGTTTCTGGCGCGGGGTAAAAGTGAACATGCACCCGTATATATATATTTTGTATATTATATACAAAAAATTTATACACTTTTTCGGCTATCAAATGTAAATAGTTTCTGGCGCGGGTAAAAGTGAACATGCACCCGTATCAGAAACATACTTGTAAACGAGCTATATAACATAGGTTTCTAAAAAAATGCATAAGCTGTAGAGTTAGATGCATTTTAGGACTTTAATACAGTTTCTGTAGAAAGAGATATGTTTATAAACTGTACAAGTTTGTTTATTTTCTAATTTCTGTTGGTTTTTCTTGTATATATTTACATGTATAGTTGTTGCTTTTCTTGATCATTTCCCTGTCCTGCAGCTATTGTTGACAGTGTGTTTTCATGTTATGATGCTAAAGTTGCCCAGATATTTGATATGCAAAGGCTAGTAGGAGTGCCAATGGTACGTGACCATTTCCAATCTGTATCTCCATTCCGTCGCATTTCTGCCAACTAAGAATGATATATTCTTGTCAATAATTTTTAATGCACAGTGTCGAATTATGGGCTAGTTGCGTGGATTCTTCAAAATGTTGTCGCACCCGTGTCGGATCCTCCGAAAATACACTACTTTTGGAGGATCCGTGACGCCCTCGGCGACATTTTCGAAGAGTCCGAGCAACATAAATTATGGAGATCATGATTCAAATCTCAGTAGAGACAAAAAAAATGCTAATTGGTTTTTTCCCATCTACCTAAATATTGGTGGATAGGGTTATCCAGTATAATGTGTTAGTGGGAGATAGTAGATACTGGTAGAATAACTCAGGTGCGTGCAAGCTGGCTTAGGCCCCGCAGTTATAGTGATTGTTTAAATTTGCTAACTCCATTTAACAATCTTAGGCTTTTATATATAAGTAATTGGCTTTAATACTGAGTAGAGATCAAGTTTACTTACTCTGCCATCTCTGAGCTCAAATATGACTGAATTTTCAGTATGAGCAATTGGTCTTGTCGATGCCACCTGTTTATAGACCAATGTCAACTCATGACAACATTTATAGACTTTGTTGCATGAACTCACGTGTATGTTATGTTGTTCGGATCCTCCAAAAATGTCGTTGTACCTGTATCATATCCTCCAAAATGTATTATATTTGGAGGATCTGACACCAGTACGGCAACATACAACAACAGTTTACATCCAGGGAAGACGGAGAGTCCACGTAACATAGTCCAAAGAATCATGAAGCCACTAGAGGAAATATTGCCGATAAACACTAACCTTGGAGTCGCAGTTTTTGTTTAAAGCTTGCAATTTTTCTTCAGTTTTCTCTAAGCGAGCTGCAAGATCGTCGTAAGTACAAGTTTCTTTACAATCATGAGGGTCAGAAACATGTTCTTCATTTTCCTCGACTTTATTTTTCATATATGGAAAGCCACAGCCTCTCCATTTCCATGTCCCATTGTCCAAGAACCTAAGATAAACTTTCCCATCTGAACCTATTAAGAACAAATGAGCACCTTTGAAACATGGTCCTGGTGAACCAACAAGGATAACACTTGGATCAGGCGTTCCGTGTTCTATCCAATTCCATCCGTTGGACAATGGATTCCATTGATACTCGACTAGTCCACCATCTTCCGATAGCATGAAAAGAGAACCCTGTAGTGACAGTGAAGATAACCTCATTGCAGTTCCAGGAGATCTCGATAGAACCAAATGTTGAGACTGGTAATGCTCGTGCCATAATCCGGTGACTTTGTTATACTGGTATAAGCGTCCGTTCCTTCCAATGACAAACACCACGTTCTCTCGGAGCAGCTCTTGATCAGCAATGCTTGCAATCTTCGCGTTGCCTGGATATCGACAATCTTTCCATTTGAACTTTCTCAGTGCAACCTATAGAAACAGTTTATGACTCTTTAGCCTTCATTTTATCACTATATAGATTGGAAGCTTTGAAATTTCAAGACTTTGAATATAATAAATGCTTAGTGCCACTCATTTTGGCCTTCATTTTGTCACTATTTTGAATGGACGCTTTGAAAGTTCAAGATTTTGAATCCAATATATGCTTAATGCCACTCATTTTAGCCTTCATTTTATCATTATTTAGACTGCAAGAGGCCGTGAAAACATTCTCTTGCGTAAATGCAGGGTAAGGTTGCGTTCCCCGGACCCCGCGCATAGCGGAAGCTTAGTGCACCAGTCTGGCCTTTTATATGCTTAATTCCACTCGTTTTCTTTACGATACTCACCCTTTTTTGGACCGCGAAACTAGACAAGTAGACATAGTATAATGCTACTTACTGTGAATTGTAGCAATCTCCCACTTTTGCTTACAAAGAAAACTGCATCTTCTTTAGTAACTTTTCG